ACGGTAGCTGTACTGGGGAGTAGGAAGTGGTTTGAAAAGGCGGGAAGGGATATCTTTAGGATAGACAGACTAGGGAAGACATTTTTGAGCCACCTTTGGCAAATTAGGAAGGAACGATTGGCCATCGGTGATCGATCCTGTGGGAACAATGCTCCGTCCTCTCGAGGACGCGTGGTCAATGGTCTAACCGCTAAGGCATGCAAAACATGAGAGTACCCCCCCCCCCCCCGCCCCCCCCTTCGTTGCCCCGGTTGCTTGCTGTTTTTCACCTCGCGCGCCCTGTCTTTGCAAACGAGAAGGTTTGCAATCCTGAACACCTCCCACCGCCGCTGCAACAGCTGCGCACCCTTAACCGGTCCTCATCCACGCGCGCCGCTGCGCAGCCGCAGCTGCAGCAGCAGCAGCCGCAGCAGCAGCAGCAGCAACGACAACAACCGCCGCCGCCGCCACCGCCACCACAACCACAGCAACGATAACAGGGTCAGGACCTCATCTCTGCTGCTAGGCAGTAATAGTAGCAAGCCCAGGACCGCCTTGCGCTGGCTAGCGTCATGGCTATGGCGGCGACGGAAGCAACAGCGACGAATACAACGCTTATCGGGCCTTGCAGAGCTCGCACTCTGCCCATCAGCTGTCGGCTAGGCGTTTTATTTGCCTGTGCCTGGCTCAGCTCGTAAACGACGACGACGACGACCAAAGAGCAGATGCATCCAGCAGCAGAGGCGAAGCGGCAAGTTTGCTTTTTTTGGTCACCTTGTTTTTTTTTCGCCTTGCTTCGCGCTCGAGAGTCCAGTGAGCACTTGCCTTTGTAAATTAGCACACGTCGATTTGCACACTTAAGTGCGTGAAGGGGTAGGGATTTTTTTGGTGCATCGCATATCACACCCTGGAATGATATATAGATTATTCGTGATAATTTTTAGTGTCTCTTGTGTTTTTTTCTTGGCGTCCCTTGCTGTCCGTAGACGGCCGCCCATACCAAAGCGATCGTCGGTCCCAGTCCTTGTCAAAGCTTTGCTGTTGTCATTTTTGTCGATTACTCTCCGTAAGTCTTTTTTTGTAAGACGACCTTACACAGCGTATCTGCGTATATCGGATGAGCGGACTAGATTTTTTTTTCCTCCTTAGACTGCATACACACGTAGGCTAAATAGCTCAGATAAACATCCTACCTCATTGTGGCGACTTCGGATGGATGCGCTCTGCTTGGTAACCCTGTTCGGGTCTACCATCTGCTACGAAATTTAGACGCATTTGGCTTGGTTGCAAATTTGAGTGTAGGAAACACAACAGTATTACAGCAGTATGTCATCTCATTCCTGCTGCTATTTTGGTTTTTCGGGACGTGAAGGGACATATACATGTCGTTTTTTGTAGGCTCGCACGAAAGGTGTTGGCGTTCGTTCGGACTTCGATGACGCCACTCCACAGCAGCGACGGCACAAGTCTCCGGAGCGCACGGCATAGAGGCAGAAAACACGCCGGTAGTTACCATGCATGCTATAAGAGTAAATTAGCGGCAAACGGGTGCTATGGTCAGTATTAGGGGTCATTCGTTTTTTTTGTTTCGTGTTTTTTCGGTGTGTGCGTGGCAGGCATCGGGTGTACTTCAAGTACATAGTTCCAGTGTTTTGGCTCCTCTTGATTGAGAAGTTCTTAGTGTTTTCCGTGCTTTGTGCAGTCAGTCAGCGGGGGGGGGGGGGGGGGGGGGCTTGGGTGGCAAGTACGGTGGGTACGAGGGAATGAGTCGAAGAGGGTATCGAAGGGCGGACCACGATCCTAGTGTACGTAGTCCGTTGTGCCCGTGGAAAGATATATATTTTTTGTCTGAGATGATATCCGCTCCTGTAGGAGTCTTCACATGCAAGTCGGACGGAGCTCTCGCCCGCCGTGGGGAGGAGGAGGCCACCTTCCGTGCCCCCGTCGGTCTCCGAGGGTGGCTTGTTTTTTGAAGTCGGAGCATATCGTGTACACTATTTCTGTGAGCAGATACGCCCGATTTATGTAGGCAAAGGACAATCTTTATCAAATAAACTACGAGCTATTCAATCAAGGAGTTTTCCACCCAATAAAGCGACAATGGCCACACATTTCAACTCCCCTCTGATGCCAACGCGTCCTCAAACGGAGTTGATCCAATAGTTTTTCCAGAATTTTACGTTTTTGCATTTTTCAAGGGGGTGTTGATATCGTTCGGGTATTGAGATTGCTTGATGCTAAATTTTACCTCACGTATGCATACAGTACTCTCGAGTAGTTTCACATCTTCCTGTGTTCTCCAGTAGCTCGAGAGTCCCGCGGAATATTAAAGTTTTTCTGTCCCGAAGTTTTTTCCCGTCGTCGAGACGGAACTGATTTTTGTTTATTGACAAATCGTGCATCACTTCGTGCGCCCCGACCGGAATTCGATCGGCCTCTTTCCCCTACCTCTCGCCTCTTCTTCTTCGTGGCGTGGCGTGGCAGCACCTCCGAGAGGCTGGCCTAATGACACCCAACCTGTGGTTCGGCGTGTACGACTTCAACGATGAGGCTAAGACCGGCGACAACTGGCGCCTCCTCGCCGAAGGTGTGAGCGTCACCCGTGACGACGTTTGTTGTTGCTATGTGTCGGTTGTTGCTGCTGATCTGTCCTTGTCCTAGTTGTAGGAACTTCCAGGACTAGATGGACGGTGTTTATTGTCCCCTGATGCTCGCACCGTCCCTTTGCTCGATGGCAGTAGGGCTGAACAGCTTGGGCTCAATTTCTGCAACACCCTTCCACCACAAGCGTTTATTGATACACACAGCAACCCTCAAATCGTTCCTGAACAAAACTGGCTGGCGTCTAACCCACCCTTGGCCACCCGGCCTCTTTCACACGTGCTTGGACCATGCCTCCGCGTTTGCGGTGAAGCTCTGAAATGTTCCCGTCTTCACACGGGCTTCAAAACCATTCGGCCGCTTTTGCGGCACAACCTCGAACGTTCTCCACTCTCGCTCTTCCTTTTCACCGACATTCCTCCCCCCCGCCCACAATCCTCCTCCATCCGGCGGAAGAGGAACAAGGTGGCGAACCTTGGCGTCCCCTGAACGACAACTCCGAGGTGGCCATCCCGGCAACGGCGCCCGGTTCCGTGCCCCTCCCCAGCAAACGAACCGGCGGCCGCACGGGCGAGACCTCGGAAGGACCGTCGGCGACAACGACGACAACGATGGCCTTCTCCTTGGCTACGAGCGCGACCGAGGCGGAGGCTGCCGTGCAGGCGGGGCATCACGCTGCGGGCGCTGTTGCGAGAGCCCCCTCTTCCGACACCGCCTCCGCCGCCGCCGTTGCCGGAGGAGGTACGGGGTCCTCTCCCCCTACTGCTGTTGCCGAGGCGGCAGCGGCGGCGGCTTCCCGGAAGGCGGGGCAGGAGACTAGCAGTGCTGCCCCTCCTCGAGGCGTTTCCACCCTGGCGGGGGGGAGCGCGAGTGAAGGGGGTGCCGGTAGCGTCGGAAAAATCGGCTGGAACCCGTCTCGAGCGGCGACAGCAACGGCAGCAGCGGCACGGGTCGGAAACGTGGGCGCGAGTGAACGGGACAATGCCGGTAGCGTCGGAAAAGTAGGCTGGGACCCCTCTCGAGTAACGGCAACGGCGGCGGCGGCAGTAGCGACAACGGCGGGGAAACCTGCGGCCGCCGGAGGCGGCGGAGGAGACGCTGCTCCGTCGTCGCCGCAGCAACAAGTGGAAGCCGAATTTGAAGCCGGCGGAGGAAAGGTAGGCTGGAGTTCCTCGCGTAGCGGCGCCGCTGGAAGTGGGGGTGATCCGACGGAGACTCTCCCGGTTGAAGGGCGACACCAAGCACTGCTCCGTCCTACTTCTATAGCCGGGGAGAGAGGAGAGAAGCAACCGTCTGCGCAACAGCAACAGCAGCAGCCTAAGGTGCAGCAGCAAGAACCGCGCAAAAAGATAGGCTGGGACCCAACACGGGCGTCGAAACCGCAGCAGCAGCCTAAGGTGCAGCAACAGCAACCGCGTCAAAAGATAGGCTGGGACCCAACACGACCGTCGAAATCGACGACGAGGTCGGCGCGAGCTGCCGCCGCCGGCGCTTCCGCTTCAGCCCCTGCCGCCCCCAACGCCGGCGGCTCCGTCGCCACTCCGGAGAGCACAGCGAAGGCCAACGGCGCCCCACACGCTCGTGCTCTTCCTCCCCATTCTTCTTCCTCTGCTACCCCAGGGGTAGCGACGGACCCGGCGGCTAAGCCGAGGGTTGGTTGGAACGCCTCTCGTGTGGGAAACCAGGCGGTACCCGCCCCGCTGGCGGCGGGCGATAGCACGGCGGAACCACCCACGGCACCAGAGCCAGCAACATCGGGGACGGCAGCGCACAAGCCTATGCCCAGGGTTGGCTGGAACCCTTCTCGGATTGGGAATCCGGCTATTCCTGCCCCCATGATGAACTGCCGCGCGTCTGGGGCTAAGGAGGCAGAGGCGGCCTCAGCGGTGGCGACGGCAGTGACGGCCGCTGTCGCGGTGGCGGGGCGGGGGGCTACGAGGCGGGGGGGCGGAGGAGAGGGCGTGGTGACTGTTGGCAATGGCAATGGCGACGGCGGCGGCGGTGTGGTGCGGCGGGCGGAAGTGCCGCTGCACCTGCGTGCGGTGTTGCTGTACGCGTCTACCCAGCGCGGGATCGACCTCCGAAAGTGGTTCGACCTAGGCGGTGGTGGCGACGGAGAGATGGAGGACGAAGGGCAGGCGGGCGAAAAAGGTCCGTCCATGTGCTGCTGTTGGGTTGTCGGTGATGGGTTATCCATGACGTTCTTGAATGTTTTTTGTGTTGCTCTCGCTACTACGGATTTACCCCGCTGCTGCTGCTGCTGCTGCTGCTGCGCCACCGTTGATAACCCCCGCCCCCGGTCACGCTCCGTTGCCACTGCAGCAGCCGCCTTGCTGACGAGGGTCCAGTTCGAGCTCGTGCTAGCCGGGTTGGCGGAAGGCTTGAAGGTACGCCTTGGTGGCTTGGCTAAATCATGCCGTAGGTTCAAGAAAATGAGATGAGACAAGGGAGGACGGTTTCCACGGTACCGGTGGTGTTGATGGTGTGTCTGTTTTGTTTTCAGGGTACTCGTCGGTATCGTTTTTTTTGGGCAGACACAGACTCGCCGGTATTGCAAAGCGGCGTTCGATGTTCGGCTATACCCGGCAACACCCCAAATGCCGGAAAATACCGTCAGTAACCGTGACCGCCCACCAGGGTGGGAAAAAAACGCCGGGAAAAATCTCGATGAGCACTCTGTGTTTTCCCTGTTCCTCCTGCAGTCCTACTGGTATTATTAACTCGTGTTGGGTGCAAAAGGTTCACGCCACCTCCCGAGACAGACCCCCTCTGCCAGTGGTCTAGTCCAAGCCCATGCTGCACTGGACGACGGACGACCAATGTGCGCGGTCAACGTGTTGGGGTTTCATTGCCGCAAGTTTGGTGTGAAGAACACAACCGAAGCCATCGTTTTCGTTACAGAATTGCCAACCAGCCCTGACACAACGTGATCGAACAGGCCGGCCTTTCGGAGGAAGAACGGCACGAGATCGACACAGCGATAGCGCCACAGGTAATCGAGGCCGCGGTTGCGGCAGCGTCGGCTACCTCGGGGAGAAGCGGAGCCTGCAGCAGCAGCAGCAGCAGCAGCAGCAGCGAGGGCAACAACGGCTGCTCCGTGATAGACGTCGGAAGGCTCCTCGATCTCTGCGGCATCCCCCCAACAACATTGTTGCCTCCAGAGGCGGCATGCCCAGAACCCCCCCCGCCGCGTGACAGCGATCCCCAGGAAAGCGTCGGTCAAGACGTGGTAGCTGATATCGTCGAAAAAGCAGGCCCGGGTGCGCCGGGAGGGAGCGTTTACGACAACCGAGGGGGCGGGGCGGCGGCAAAGGCTCGAGTGGTGGCTGAGGTGGAGGCGGAGGTGGAGGCGGATGAGACCGCCTTGCGAAGGATAGTGCAACAGGCAGATCTATTCGACCGGGTGCTGGTGAGCACCAAGATTATTTCGGTGCAGGATTTTGCCGTTGGTGCTGTTTTTTGGCAGTCAAAAGTTGAATTTGTTTAGCTTGAACGCTGATGTTCGCCCCCGCAAGTGACGCGCTCAACAAATGGCATGGGAACCTCGGGGGGGCAAGGGACGAGGGTTCGTTTTCTGACGAAATTGTAGCGGCACAACGCTGTATATTCGAAAAACAGCTACGTCGAGTACCATGGAACACAAGCTTGGATATATATTGGTGCCATCCGCCCCCTTACTATTGCCCACGTCAGGCGTCCTTGGGGCTCAAGCAGCCCGTCGTTGGTTCCAGCCAAGGGTCAACGCTCGCCGACCGGGAAGCATCTCTGAGGGTTTCCACAGTCCCCCTCGAGGCATTTCGGAAAGGCCTTGCGGAGGTCGGCCTCCACCTCAGCCGGACTAGGGTGAGATGCTTATTCTTCGTGGTTACGACGCAGCATGTTCTTGTCGGGGTCTTGATTTTCGCATGGCATGTGGGTGGTTTGGCCTCGTCGCTCGACTGACCGTTCTCTAGGCTCCAAGAGACCGTTCGTTTCGATCGAGAGAGTCTACCGTTGTAGCACGCTGTCCTCGCTGGTCTCTCTTGAGATAGCTGGTGCTTTTTCTGTACCATCCCCCCCTCCGTGCGATTCGCTGATTGGCCTCTCGGTACTTGTGCCTGCGCCTGTCGCAATACCTGCGCCCTGTCGTGAGACCCCGGCGTGCTCCGACCTAAGCAGCAACACCCACTCATGCGCCGTAGCGATCGACACTACTCCCGTGCCCACCACCGTCCTCCAACTTTTTTCCACGCAGGCTATTGCGCTAGCAACTCGTGCCTATGGGCCCTTGCACCGCTTCAGCGACAGCGCCATTGGCGACGACGGGACCGGACGGCCTCGTGCAGGGCGAAGACCCAACAACAACGCGGGTGGGGGGAGCGCGAGGTTAGGCAGCAGCCTCAGCAGCGGCAGCAGTGGCTCAAGAATGGGCACCAAGAGCGGCCAGCCCAGGAGCGTCGACCGTCTCAGCCGCCGCGGCGGTAGCCGGGCAAGCCTCCAACGCAACAGCCCGCAACGCCCGCAACAGCAGCGCCAGCAGCGGGACAAGGGTGGCAACCGGCGGCGGCGGCGCCCGCAGGAGGCGCGGGGGCGAACCGCCGCCCGCGGTGAAGGCGGAGGTGGGAAGAGAGCGCCATCCTTATCGTCCCGGCGAAACGGACAAGCGCACCCGGTGCTGTCACCGACAACGCGGTGGGGGTCGACACCACCAGCACCTTTGCGCACGCAGTCGTCGCCGCCGCAAAGGAACAGCTGCCACGGGGAGCCAGAAATCCCGGCCTGGGACCTGCGCCGGTACCTCGTGCGCCTGCGGTGCGAGTCCAAGTCGAGGCAGGCGAGGTGCGACCAGCGCCGGAGGAGGCTCCGCTGCAATCCCACCGGTCAGGAGGAAGGGTGCGAGGACAGCGAGGGTTCGGAAGAGGAGAGGGAAGGAGGAGGAGGAGGAGGAGGAGGAGGAGCGACTGGTGAGGGGGGAGTGGTCGAGGGCGACGAAGACGATGCGGCGGCGCTGTCGGTGTTTGCCGCCTGGGGAAAGAGGATTCGGTGGGAGCGCGCCGAGAGGGAGCGAGAGCGGAAACGGTGAGGCTGGGGCTGAGGGAGGGTGGGGGCCGAACTTGTGATGTGTCATGCTTTATTGGCTGGAAACTGTGGGTCGTCGGCGAGCGGGACGGCATATATATCATTCCTACATCACACGGCGCCCCTTTACGTACAGTGGCAGCTACGGTTTAAGAGAGAGTATTTAAGAGAAACTAACAGTTTAAGGGAGTCGAACTGGCTTGTCACGACCACGAGAAACATATATATTTTACAGTACGGTTTAAGAGAAAACCGATTCACAACGAGATATGCTGGCTTGTCCTGACCCTCTCTTAAACCGTAGCCGCCACATTATTCGAATTAGTATGGTCTGGAACTGTATAAGATCATTCTATGTTGTTTGGGGTGTGCGGTCACTTCGTATCCCCCCCCCAAAACAATCTCCGAAATATGAAGTGGATAACCCTCGGGGTCGTTGATAACATGTTGTCATTTTTTCAAGTGGGAACGGCGGCAAGCCTTCACGTTAGCTTTCACTACATTGAGGTTCCCATACAGAGCTTGGATCCACCCGCCGTGATGTGAAGGAACGAATCGATTCATGGATGCGTTTAATTCCAACGAAGAGGTGAATCATCGATTGAGGCAGCTGATATATGTTTCAGTTCGGTGTGCGCGGATCATTGTGGAGGTACGCTCAAGCCGTCATTCATCGGGTTCATCGAAATCGGCGGCAACACTCGGTGCTCGCGTTTGTCTAAATTCTAGACTCTCGCTATTTTACGATAGTGGTTGAGGAAGTAAAAGTATTTGTGGGTTTCGTCCTCACCTCTGTAGGTATGCTTTTACTCTATTGGACGTAGGTGTCGGCTCTTGACGCGTTCGCTTTTCCCGGGACAACCATCACGCCCATGCAACAAGAAGAGTGGTTTATGGTTGAGTTGGTAATCTGGCAAAATCTTTTGGCTCCAGTTTGTGGAATCGGATATCTGCGGGAGTGAGAAAGCCTGGAAATTTCACACAAAGCATCCAAGATAACTCTGTCTGTGTGACCCCGCCTGACGCGTCAAACATTCACCTAAAGGTAGAGGCTGGCGCCTAGGATTGATGGGGACAGCAAATCACAAACAATTACGCATTCATTGCCATTGTAGACTATAGCCGCCTTCAATTCCATGCTAATCTTCGGATAGATGGCAGACACAGTCAACCACCGTGTACTCAATCCACTCGGGGTTTGCCGGCCTTTCAGGGAGTTCCAGAGCGCCCTGGCAGGGCGGCCCCATTCCCTGACGCTCGAACAGCTTCTGGAGTGCGTCCATCGATTCGAGATCATGCCCCCTGAGGTGCGTTAATGATGCACGTGCGGTGCCCTGCGGTCGTTCGTTTTTTGATTCCTTTCGCCGAGTCTAGACGCAACCTCCAATGTTCCTGCTTCCGACAGACTGCAACGACGGGCTCTCCCGTTCCTTGCCCTTGGGTGCTTTGGAGCTCTGGTGGTCGAGGACCTGTGGCGGCGTCTGGCCAATAGTAATACTCACTCTCGGGGATATTTTTTTGTTTCCGTTCAACCGCACCCAGGTCAGCGTGTGACCACGGCAGAACCTCGAATGTTGTTGCCTTGGCGAGAAGGGAAGAAGATACGGAACGTCAACGTGAAAACAATATCAATACTTGCTGGTGGAGGCGAAGTACTGCTGTAGTGCGATCCATGTTTTTTTCACCCGAATTACAATTATCGCCAACGACTAATACGATATCGAATGAACAATTGTTCGACGCGATTCACATGTGACAGTTTCTGACCCAAGACCATGAAGCGTGTCCCAGATAAAGCATGCACAGCACACCTCACACTGATCCATGTTTCATGTTGCAAACGAAACCTACGCGCAACAACGTCACGGGTATTATCAGTGGGCATGGTTGGCCGTATGAATTTTCCGATTTGCCCCCGCCGTCGCTAGACTCGAGATTTCGCTCCAAATTAAGTCGCGTAAAATGAACACAGTAGTCCATTGTAAACCCCGTGCTTTTCGGTGCATTGAGTCAGCGTGATACCTGCTGACTTTGTCTCTACCACAACAAGGTGATGTCGAGGGAGTTGCGGGCGATGGGCAAGGCGTTCTCGGAAAGCGTGGAGGGGACGCGCAGGGCCAGAGAAATCGTTCGCCGGTGGAGCCAGGTAAGACTCTCGTCCTTGTCACCCTCTACTCCCAGTTTTCGTCTGATCCTCCAACCTGGGTTCGTTCCAAGAACATGGGTAGCACCGCGATCATCGACGCCAAACTACCATCGGTAGGCTTTGCGGCTCCATGTCATGGCCTCGTGGAAATTATCGATTCCGAACCTTCAAGCACTATCCTCCGTGCTGGCATCTTCCCATGGCTACCGCTGCGAAAACGCGAGGGATGTGGGTCGTTTTCGACACACCTCGAAAACCGTTAGGCGTGTCATCAACAACATTACATGCTCGCCAGTGAAGTATGTAGGTGCCTTGTTGTGACTATGTATTCTCGAGGAATCACGCGTCAACTTGAGCGTTCTGCTGTGCTGAGACCTGAAGCGAAAGCGTCATGGCAATCCACTGCTTTGATGCCATTCTCCACGGTCGACCCTCCTCGTGTGTCATGTGGATGATTTGTGGGCGTTCGTTCGCTGTGCGAGACAACAGGCGTCCCCTGCCTCTCGAAACGCCTGCGGCACCGACGGCCCTGAGCAGAAAGTATGGGAAGACGTGCAGACCCTCAGCGGTGCGCAGCGCAGGGCTAGAGCTTGTGTGATCGTGGCGAAACAAAGGGAAGAGGTGAACACCGAACGATTCCCCCAGAGGAACGCAGGCGTCTTTTGAGGGAGGGGGGTAGAGTAGTGCCTATCGCTTCGACAAATGTTCGTAGACATAAGTACACCAATGTGTGCAAGTGGACACGTCAAAATGGACCACATGCCCCGAATGATCCACGGCATGACACGAACAAGTGTAGAGCAGGACAACCTTTTCCTGCATTTCCATCTTTGGCGCCGACAGTAATTTTGCCTGGCATGCGATGGGAGGCGTTTGCGAAGGATGGTGTTAAGCATAATATCTGCGCTTGAAGGTATTCGTCACAGTTGCGGCGATTTCGCTGATAGGTTATTCCACCTTTGACCAATACGAGGGCAGTCTCAGGTGGTGATGATATTATGATACGACATCATCTCCCATGATAAGCCCAGCACGATGTTCCGTGATATAATATGCAGCACTTTTGAAGGCCAAGTTGCACCGACGGTAATTGTTTGCAGGAGCTAGTGGAGAGCGAAGACACGTCCGCTTCGGTGAGTCGCGGACTGTTCCTTGCCTACATAAGGAATTCCCACGGCGGCAAAGCGGGAGGACGAGGAGGAGTGAGCTTGCAGCGGTGGTTGGAGGACAGGCAGGCAGCGATGGAAAAGGTCGTGTGCCTCTTTGTTTTGCGGAGGAAGCGTTGGGGGTGATGTTCGCGTTCCTTGTGATGGAACAAAGGTAGCGACATCGTGTCGACCGTCATGTCCCCAGCAGCATGAACACATATGTTTATGCTTGTGATCGTCGTCCTTCCTCGGGACCAAGCGCTCGGTAGCAAATATTTCGCCCCCAAAACTGAAATTTAATAAATTTCCCAAAAACAAAATACACCCTAGACTACAGATATAAGAGAAAATATTATTGCTCGTCCGTGTTTAGCATGCGTTTGGGTAGAGGTTCCCAATCAATGCACATTTAGGATTGTACTAAATATTGGTATTCTGCCCTGGCATCATGACCGGGAGCACCCCAGCGGAGAGAGGGAACAAATTGGTTGGACACATTCACACCCATTTGTTTCGTGAGCGCCCCAACCACAGACCGGGCGATTGGTTTTACCCTCGGACAGGCACGTGAACTAGAGGCCGGACGAGAACGTGCTCAGGCGCTGTCGAAGGCCGATACAGCAGGGAGGAAGGCAAGGAATTTTTCAGTAATGGGGCGATCAGCGATCGCCTTGCTCTCAGGAGGGAGCTGCCGATGCCAGCAGTGGAGTCACAACACCCATGATATATGGCCACACGAACAACTCTTTTAGGGGCCCGTGGGCTAGGGATAGTAGCTTTTTCCCTTTCTTCGTCTACAACGTGTGACCAAAGAGGGTTGGCAAGGCAAAGAGCTCTTCAATGGTTTGACATTACACGAACCATTAATCAGTATTGCCTTGAAGCCCCCTCCCCAATCTAAGGCGCAGAAGCGAAAAATACTATGTTCTTCGAACCAAAGATGAGGTGACAGAGTGATTTTTCCTCGTACAAATAAATCTCCGCCGCTCAATAGACGCCACGAAGAACCGACCAAACATTGCATTCAGTTGGTCAACTCGTCCTACCGCTCCTACTCGTTGGACCACTTTTTTGTCCTGATTCGTTGCACGGTGGTGCACCATTTCTCGTTCCCGGACGTCACTCTCTATCTCCTGCCCCTTTGCCGAACAGGTATATATTTTCTGACCGCCGTTATCTGCCTTTCTTTCTTTGTCGTCGCTGACATTCATTCGACCAGGCTCTCGTGAGTGAGCTGAAGGAGGAGCTGATGAGACTCGTCGGGTCTACCAAGAAGACGCAGAAGGTCGACAAGGCCCCGGGCATGGAGGCGAGTGAACCGACCGCGGAAACGAAAACCTCAAGCGTCTCCTCTTCACATGAAAACAAGTATACCACTTGCATGAGGAACGCCTTTTTCTTGGAAATCACACGCAACTTTTCCTAGAGGTTGTGTCGTTTTTGGTCGTCAACGGACAGACGATTCGGACGACACATTTCTCAGCCAAACCGTGATGTCGTCCTTGGCGCTTGTCCCCGGTGCTGGGGTGTAGCGTAGTGAAAGTCCGAATCCCCAGCCATTCTCTTTCGTCCCTGTACTAAACTCTCGAAGTGAATTGATATTCTTGAAGTCTCGTACCTCTCGGTCTTTCTGAACGTCTCCACCTCAAAACACGTTCTGTGTTTTCGGTTGTCTTGTCGTGTTTTGATATTCGGCTCAGGTGTTGCGATCGTCGCGGGAGGGATTGGACATCCATCGGCGGCTGAAGCGCCTCGAATCTCTCGCAGCTGAAGAACACAGGGCGAGAAAGGTGCGACATCGTCAAAGCTAGGAATCGTCTGTATGAACACATCTCCGTAGTCTAGGTGTTGTTTGACTTCAAAAGAGGGACGCTTTGGCCACCAAATACTGGTAGTCAGGACTGCCTTCCCACACCTTCGTTTCGCTTGCCCGCGCGCGTTCACTGCTGCTGTTTGTTCACTGGCTAAAGCTGGACACAGGCGGTAGCGGCGGACGGCCAAAAGGAGGTCGGCAGAAGCCGGCGACGTCTTCTTCGCCATCGCCGCCGTCCCTCCTTCTGTCCAAGCGGGCGTTCAACGCCGAGATGGGCGACGTCCTCTTCTCACTGACTGCGGACGGTTCGGCGGCCGCGCGGGCCCGGGAGCTCGCCGGCGTCCCTCTCATAGCCGCGGACCTCCGCAAGAAATGGTGTGTGCCTGGGATCAGGGCCGTATCTTATTGTACCGGTCACCAACGGTAGCGAATACTTGTACGGGAGGGAGTCGTTGTTACACCATACGTACGAGGAGATGCTGCTAGTCAGGGGGAATCACTTTCGTGAAAGGTCCAGGGAGGTAGCAATCAGAATCAGCGGCATGCTCAACACACCCTTGAGATCAATATCGCGGCATTGTCGCCGGAACGCTTCACTTAATCCCTTCTAGATGTTCCATCGGACTTGCACTCATGACCGTGGTTGGTTAGGCTCTGGTTCTGTTTAATGGAAACATTTCTCATTGCCTCGGTATGTGACTTTCCATATGTTGGAACAAACAGTTGGTTGTCTCATTCTGTGACGTCCGCGTTTGAAATTTGATTGACTGTCTCCTTCTGTGACTGTCCACTGGTTGGAAATTGAATGGGTCGTCCCGTTATGTGACTGTCCATTTGTTGGAAATTTGAATATTTGAGCTGCCCTCCCTGTCATCGGCCAAAAATAGGTGACCGAGGCGTATCCTTCGATGCCAGAAACTTGGCAGCGTCGAGATCGCGGCCATGAATTATTTAATACCCAATCGCGCTCTTTTCATGTCTTGCACCTGCTCTACTTGGGGGTGAACAGGGCCAAGGAGGGAAGAGGGGGAGGGGCAGAAGCGGACGGTGTCGATGCGTCCCACACGGAGATGTCTTCTCCCCTCGCAGGGAAAGAGATCGGAGTTCCTTTCGCCGTAGAACTGTTCGGACTGGAAGAGGCGTTGCTCCTTGGAAGGGGACACAAAGACGCCGAAGAGAAGAGGGAGCGGGCGCTTCAACAGTGAGTCGGCACCATGAGGCGTGCAGACGCAATGCTGGGTAATAGGACGGAGCCTCCGAACAGTAGCAGCCGCTGATCTTGCGAAGAAAACCCCGTGGTGTGTATTGATGGGTATACAGTGGCAGATCTTTTGGGGGGCAAATATGCACAAGGAGGCCTCCTGAGTTCTGCTCCTCGAGTAACAATAGCCGTTCCAGATCAACCGTGATAACAACACCGTCTCGTCGCGTGGTGTCTCTGTGGTCGAAATACAAGGTACCGCATCTGGTCGAAGGAGAAGAGCAAGGAAGCAAGGAAGGCGAGGAGGGTGGAGCAGGCAAAGCAGGCGGAGGAGGCACACCGAAAGCGGAGGAGAAAGGCGGAGGGGCTCAAGGCCTACCGCCGCTGGCTCCGGCTCGCCTCCAAGGAAGCGTGAGTGTTTTTGGGGGTAAAAGGCACGTAGGACCACCAGCGCGAGAGAGGGATTTTGGGCGCACGTGATTTTGTCCATTCCTCACCGCTCTAAAAAGCAGTCGGGTGTGACCCACTGCCTCTACATGTACCTGAACAGCGTCTATGAACCCGCTCCTTGGACAAAAGTCGACGATTGAATCAAACCGCGCGCGTCGCGGGATACAGCGGTTCAACGATCGTGCGACCCATATATTTCTGATTGCCATTATCGGCGAAGATCTGTGTCTGTAGCAAGCAGCAGTAGCGGTCTAGCCGAGCGAGATTCACACTGACACGCGGGGCTTTGTGTAGGTCTATGTCGGCGAAGAGACCAGAATGTGGAGGTTGAGCGTACCCGTCAAAATTGTCATCAGCTCTATAGTGACGCAACGAGGAACCTACTGGGTGTACCTGCCACAATCGGGCAGGTTCGATGCAAACGCTTAGGAGTGAAGCATCCGACCCCCCCCGCAAATGTCCCAGGTATAGATAGGTACAGATGAACACGTCCTACCCTCCGACCACGATCAATTCTAGATGTGAGTCAGTGCCATCAACACGTGCGAGGTTGTCGACGTTTGCAGAGGTGCATGCGCTCTTTCATTAGGGTCCAAGATCAACAGCAAACCATGTATGTACTTACGCGTTTGAAGGCAATTTTTTCCGCCAGAATAACGGAACGGAGCAGAATGACCGCCATATGACACCCCACTATCCCCAGCGCGCATCAGTGTAGATTCACCTCAATGAGCAGCATTGAAATAAAGTAAAGGATACAGTGGTGTTGTTGTTGCCCTGGTGCACAATGATCCGAACGGAAGTGGGCGCGCTTGGGATCGCGTAGCGGAAGGAGCTATCATGGGCGTGGTTTGGTGTGAAGGGTGACAAGTCAAGCAATCCTACCTGTGTGTGGGGGGCTCCGGAAAAACGCATTTACGAGAGCGTAAGCTCGATTGGGAAGAAGACGAGCGCACTCCTGTTGTCTTGAATGGGACGTGAGGGCCCAGATAGAGCTCTCTCCCCCCTCCCGGCCTCACTCGCTCACTGATTCTATGCCCGCCTCGTCTTCCTTTGCCCCGCCGACATGTGCCGTTCAACTGCATCAGCATATTCCATAGAGCGATACGGGGACGTGAAAAGGCACCAGGCATGATACTATGAGGTTGAAACTTCGCTACTAGCTTCCGTTGACCGGCCCTAGAGCCCCCGGACCCATTTCGCAATGTCCCTCTCTCACTACCACCCCCCCCGAACAAAAAAACTTGGCAAGGATGAACAAATGACACTTCAGTCCCACCGACGACGGTCATCGATGAAAATGGTATTGTTCCTCAGCACTCGCAGAGAGAAACGCCCGCGCGGCGGCTCTTCGGCCTCCCAGAGTCCATCTTGAAGGGCGACAATTTCCTCCACTCCTTCGTTTTGGGAACGGAGCTGAAGACGTAAAACGTCGGTGGCCGGGTTCCTGGCGCAAAATCCTGAGAGTCCGAATAACTCTTTCTCCCCCGGTATCACCCCGACATCTGCGTTTTGTTGTATTCTAGTAAAAGCAGCTCGCGCTGAGGCCGGGGTTCTTTGGGAATTCGTCGTCTGAAATTCTCCGCCAAAGCTCCCAAAAAAGTCAGATAATGCGGCTCCTGCGCAGCAAGCCGCCGGATTTAGTCAATGAGTTCGTGTCAAGCAGCCTCTGTTCAGATCAAAATTCGCGTTCCCTGCCTGTACCGCTCCCCGTCTTTCCCGGCAAAACACCCCCTTGGCAGGTACTTCTCACCCCAGAACAACAAGGTCGTTCCCAGGGTCCGTTCATCGGGAGCTTTGTCCTCCCGGTCATGCACACGAAGGACCCTCAGCTGCAGCGGCAGCGGTAGCAATCGAGTCACCACCCCCACAACCACCACACTTTTACCCACAAAGAACAGCAGCAGCAGTAGCAGCGGCGCTGTCGTCACCAACGCGGACGGCAGCACCGCCGGTGGTGTCAGCGGCGGCGGGAGGGCGGTAGAGGAAGGACGACGCCGTCGCCATTGGAACCCCAGCACCGAAGGCGCCGGCGACGTTTACATGGCGGCTGAAGCTGGCTTCCCAGACTTTTTGTGACCGAGAATACCACGAGTGCCGGGGAGATTTTTGCCGGTCTTCCGGCGTTAGCATTAGGGGGGACGGGGTGAGTGGAAATTCGGTACTGGGTAGTAGGTGATGCCGTGGATGTTGGTGGGGACGCTGGCTTCAGGAGTGCGGACGAGACGGGGAGGGTAGGCGAGAGAGGAGCTGCGGATACAATCAAGATGAGGGGTGGGTCATACTGAGCGGGGAAATCACAGCACAGCCTTTCAATTCCATATCGTTTTCGTCAATGAATTGCGTAATTATGTGGAGCTGATGGACAGCAGCAAGCTAATTGCTTCCTTTCATATGAGGAAACCTCACTCGCTGACGCCTGGACCTTGTAGAGGAAAGCTCTACACAACGTTGTATCCGTCTGCTCACACATGCTGCAGGTGGTGCGTAGCCCGATATCATCAAATATTCGTTGGTTCGTTGAATGAATTGTTTGCGTTTTCACACGGAGGGGCAAACGAAGAATCGATGGGTGTAAAAACCGCTTGTGACAAAAGGAGCAGGAGCAAAATACTCAAGCCGACCAGATGGATAAGCGTATGATGCACCTGGAAGTTGTTTTCAGTTTGGATTCATTCGGCGTGGTGCAGTAGAATAGCGGCAACCCCATAGAACAGATACTTTAATGTGTGTGAATGCCGAGTGGATTAATACCGCAATCTTAACGTCTGAGACCGTACACGAGGAGGACATGACCTGCATGGCCGAGGAAAAGCGGATAGAAAGAATAACATTGTAAATTGTGTCTCAAGCGGACCATTCAACAAACCAACCGGAACAGAGGCGGAAGGACAGGCCAGTGGAAAATTTTCCACCATGCGAAATCGATCGCAGGACCGGCTTGACAATGTTTATCCATCGTGGCAGGCATTTCACTCACAGAGTGGACTGATTTCTCACCAGACTATAGCACCTTCGCCCAATTTGACGGGAAACTATGTTCCACATGTTTACAGTAGGCAGGCATAACCCACGCAAAGGGTGGTCTCTGCCACTCAACCTCGTCCTCTTAGAGGGCTACGTGTTTCGATCGACTACGCTGAGAAGGGCGGCTCAACAGCGGGAGGGAAAAGACTGATATTTGTAGTGTTTGGTCTAGACTTACAATTATCGTGTTTCACTTCTCGCGGGCGAATCAATATTCGAACCTGGATGTGATCACCCTGGCTTATTGCTGCGAATTTCGCACGCCGCGTGTTGTCGGCTATATATCGAAAGACGCTGCGCATGCACGCATCTCGATGATGGGCTACATGTAAAAGTTTCCAACTGTCCAAGCTCAAGGGTTGACTTGAACAGGACGCATCATCACAAGCTCGGCGTTGTTAGCCGAAATCGTGAATGGTGAATGAAAATTTGCTAGCTGTCAAGCTGTCGAATAGCGCACGCACTTAAGAACATTGCTGTCAAGAAAATAAAGCCTCGATAGACTCAAAATCTAGAATAGAACAAGAGTTCATATATGAGCCCGTACAAGACAACCCTTACAAGAAACGAAATCCCCCATCCTATCGCCCAAGAACGGGGGGATTCACGGGCATGACATGATACCATCCGGTCTTCCAGTTCGCTTGTTATTTTAAACAGATTTCTTCTTTGGGTATCCTGCGTATTGATTTGTATAGCCGTTAGAAGAGTACCACCAGTGGTATTTGAGCAGGGATCCTTCCAAAATGGATGTCAGAGCTTGCTTGGCGTCTCTCGACCAGTGATTGCTTATTCTCCAAGCGAGCTTGGCCTTACGAAGATGACAGGAAATGCTCATGTATGATCGGGTACGGCCAAGCAGAGGCTTCCCGCTGCGCAGGGCATGCATGCATGGTGTCTGCAGTCGTGTGCGTGTTTAGTGTGCTGCGTGTTGTGCGACTGCTGTAGAGCGATTTCTCGGCTCGAATTCCTCAGGAATATGACAATTTTTTTCTTCTGTCAGTTTTAGCTGTGACAAGCCCCTTTTTCTGCTCTTGTTCTCATAGACTATATGTACTTCTCTTACAACCTATCTATATGACATATCGTAGCCGGCACTGCTGTACGCTACGCCATATTTTTTTCAGAGCGTGAACATTCACAAGTGTTGGGAACATTGCCTACAGCAATAGGGCGCATCGGTTGTCGCGCTTGTTCAACAGATGGAAGGGGTGTGGAGCATCAAGCTGTAGAATCATCACAACTGTTTGGGATTATTATTGGTCATTGCCTCAGACAACAATATGTACTGTAGTCTAATACATCGTCCGTCGTATCACTACGAAATAGTGAAGGTATTTTTCAAAACAAGTTCTTTTGCGTGTGCTATGCATACAGCAGTACACAACACATGTACTGCGTACAAGATTTTGGGCGCTGCGCGCCCCCGCTTCATTTGAAGCGATTCCAAGGCAGGCAATGTTTTCTCTGAAGTGGGTGTAGGATGTTGTTGTTAAAATGAAGGTAGGCACCGATGGCAGTTAAAGTTTCCGTGAAGGTGGAGTTCCCATGATGGAGGTTCGTGTGTGATTTGGAGATGTAGTCTAAAGGTCCATTATTTGTTTCCCATCGCCGTGCCCAGTACTCCCCAGTACCTCTCCATTATCTGACACACATCCAGAACTAACTCAGAACTGCAAAAAATAGACAAAATTGTCGGCTGAACTGCGAATGAAGAAATACAGCACTATCTATTATCAATTTAACGCACTACTGAACTGCAAAAAAAGAATAAAGACAGCACGAAGAATTGGACGCATTACTTGAATTCTGAACAAGTGAATTGGGGGGAGTCGGCCGGGGTAGCCATCGAGAGTGGAGGTAGAAAGGAGTGTAGTTTCGTATTTTCCGGACCTTTAGGAGGGATTATCGGAACCGGAGCACACAACACCGTTGCCGGAATCGGAACAAACAACAGACCATTCCGACCCGAGAGCGGTGAAGAGAGAAAATCAAACATTTAAAGACAACGTGGATACACAGACACACACACACCGAGAGGAGAGAGAGAGAGAATACGGTACCAAGGTGACAGGAGTTGAGTGCATACCGTGTGAAGGTGGTAGAAATAAAAAAAAATGCACAGCAGTAGCACACGGAATCGGAACAAACAACAGACCATTACGACGCGAGGGAGAGCGGTCAAGAGAGAAAGCAAATGAAAAGAGAATGTGGATAGACAGACCGTCCGAGACATGGAGAGACGGAGGAACGGAGGAGAAGGAGGCGCACACAGAGAGGGCCGCACTTCGAGTGGGATGCGTGGTATGATGGTACAGAGAGGGGTGACAGCAGCATGGGAGAGAGATAGTCTAAAAAAAGCGGAAGACAAAAAAAAGTGGAAAGTCCACCAAAGTGCCAAATTTCCAGAGGAAATGCTGCTCTGTGACAGCTCGCAGTAGCAGGCGGCATCGGCGCAAACAACAGACCATTCCGACGCGAGAGCGGTCAAGAGAGAAGGCGAAAATGAAAAGAGAATGTGGATAGACAGACCGTCAGAGACATATAGAGACGGAGGAACGGAGGAGGAGGAGGCACACACAGAGGAGAGGGCCGTACTTCGAGTGGAATGCGTGGTATGATGGCACAGAGCGGGGTGACAGCAGCAGGCGAAAGAGATGAAAGCGGAAGACAAAAGAAGTGGAAAGTCCACCAAACAAAGTGCCAAATTTCCAGAGGAAATGCTGCTCTGTGAGAGCCCGAGAAGACCGGAATAGAGCGCTCACAGAAGCCGAAAGAGGCGAAATGAAGCGTTCTCAGAGAAAACTTAAATTGTGAGAAGACTGTTGCCCATTAATTTTCTGAAGATATGCATGCAAAATATCAATAAAAAAAAAACGAGGTCTGTCTGCGGTGACGCAATAACGGGGACTGCGCGATCCACACCGCCTTCCACTGCTCTACCTTAGTCATGTTATGTACCTGTCTGTGCGTCCTTGCAGGTCACGGATGCAATGCACGGGACAAAGTTGGTCTAAATATGCTACTGGGTGATGTGCACAACCATACAACAATATCAGTGTCCGAGAAAGGCCAGCCCGGAATGCGCGATGATGATAAATAGTCGTTGCGGGATGATACACACACACAACAGCCTCCCTCTGCTGTGCAGCAGATGGGCATCACGCCCTTTTACGTGTTGGCCACTGCACGTAACGGTGACACAGAAACCGTGAAAACTCGTCGACGTGCACGACAGCAAGGCATGTACATTGAGGAATAGTTCAAGAAATGAATCTCACTGTTCCTACTTTTCGTGTCGATTTTTCCGAAGAGGAATCTCAGGTTGTTGGCCGGTGCATGATTATGTTCCGAAGACGCGTTCATTTATTCAATGTCATGGGGAGTCTTCGGAACACAACACATACTTTGTAAAGGAGGACGATCTTGTATCGGCAGCAGAACGATGTGTCCTCCACATATTGTTTTTCGAACTCTTTGGGAAACTCGGAAAGGATCGAGCTATTTTGTAGACTGCATGTACTCGTGCAGACTACGATGTCAGAAATGAAGGAGTAGAGGCGCCAACATTGTGCTTGTGATCCACAACCGATCGTGGTGTAGAATGGGATGTTGTCTTTGTCGGGAGAGAAGGCCTGACTGAGTTGCGCCATGCCGACCCACCATGCGCACATGACCTTTAAATGTATGACAATATCGTAGGTACGCGAAATATTCCGAAAATGTGTTACTTGCGGAACAATTACATCCTATCTATGTGCATACATACCAATATCATGGGCTGTAGCTGTGGGAGAACCTTGGATACGATAATGATACGGGTGCTCACATCTTCTAGATTTTCCAAAGATCCATGTTGCATTCCAAGAGTTATCAAATGAAGACCATCACCCACTTCCCGCACGCTGCCCACACTGATCACCACTCCTCACTCTCCTCCACACCCACTCGTCACCCTCCTTCCAGCCCCACCCGCCGCACACTGGTCGCTCGCCTCCACACCTGTTCCCGGGCCGAGCATCGACCAGAGAGCGGTGAGTTCACTTACCCAG